CTGCGGCACAAGTTGGTGCACTAACACAAACTAAGCAACCAGGATCTTCGAACGTCTTCTGACGTGAAGGAGCTGGGAGTTTTGGCGCAATCGTCCATGGATTTTAGAAGTAGGCTGAAACTCTTCCGGTAGGGGTATCCAACAGGTGCGCCTCCTAAAGCGTGCATTCAGACGGTTCGACCAATCGATATTTCCACACCTTCGGCTCATACATATAACAACATGTGGAATACGCAATACAGGTCTGGCAGCCATGGCTGAGGAGAGATCTAACTGCGTTCTTAATGACCCCAACGCCGCGCAACCAAGAATGTAAAGTGTCTGTATAATTTGCTGTATGATCGAAGGAACCAGTGATGGGGTGGGCGATTGCGCGGAGACCTCACTTTGACATACTGATTTTATGAGATCACAGTCACACGTGCCGCCAGTTGCCAGAGCACAGTCACGACAGTAAATTGAGAGGTCATCATCTCAAGTAGACAGAGCAGCACATTCGCTTTGAATGCCGTCAGAACTTCTTTTCACTGCGCGTTTGTAGAACGTGGAATGCCCTACCGGACTTTGTCTCATGTGCTCCCACTTTGGCGAAGTTCGAAGACCGAGTTGACCGAGCATTTATTGCGCTGCAACATCTCACATGACTCATTCATTACCCATGGATAAACACAAGCGTCTGTAAGCGATTTCACTGGCGATCAAATACCACATTTCGTTCCACCGCATGTGGATGTGCACCTGGAGGAGATAAGCATTTTATCAACAACGCTTTTGCCTTCATTCATTATGGATTTACAGCTTACACCACGTATACCTCAGTGAGTCCACCGGTAGTAACCAATCTCGACAGTCATATTTTTCTATGATTTGAAGTTTGTACATATATATCTTACGAGATCTATTAAGCATTATTTGTCCTTACTTGTATAAAACAATTGTAGCACTGTTCTCACGGCTCCATAGCACGGTCTCAGGCCAGATCTTTTCTACGCTGTCAGCCTGCTGTTGACGACGCATGGCAGGCAACAAACCACTGAACGTCTATCGACCTGATGTGCGTTGACTTCAATATTATTCGACACGATGAACAATGAAATCCTACCATACTGGCTGAGAGTGCGTAGCGATGATATCTCACTACACCAGTTCATCAGCGATTTCCTTAATGGACGAAAGTGGAGACGGATAGAGGTCGACGACCAGTTTCCGTTAATTAGTTGCAAACCCATTGCATATCATCAGGGAATATTTCGTTACTGATCCGCATCGATAATTTACCACTGATGTTGCTGTCGCCGCATGTAATATTATCTGACTATCTGTATGTGCGCAGCGTGATTAGCAACAAAACAGCCGCCTCTGTGTGATATGCAGAAGACCGTCCGGCAGTCAACGCAGCCATTACAGCATTCAGGAGCCTATGGAAAGCAGTGAGGTCCGAACCTAGGTCTTCGACGACCAACCGCAACGTTCCAACTATAAGTGAAGGAATATCACACGACGAGTTGAATTTCCTGAACACTGCGAAAAGGCTGCATGGGATGGAATTTGGGATGTTCTGGGCAATAAACGCGGATGCTGCATCTGTTCTGCTGAGGTTACCGCTGTCTCTTCTATTCCATCAAAACAGCAGTGCTAGTATACGGCTAGCACAAAAACTGTGTGATCACCCGTGGTGAGGGACAGGTAGATAGGTTCCAACACGCCGCAAACAGGTTTATTTCTGAGTTACGGGGTCTGGCGCACGCGAATAATGCGAGAAATCCGGACTCCGCACCCCGCCCAATTGTCGGAAGCGAATATCCAATCATATCGTTCCAAACTCTACATCACAGTGGTTCCCTCATGCTCAGGTGCTGTGCAGCTACATTCACAACACAGTACACGCGGACCTCATAGATACTTCATTTGACGCACCTGATTTCAGTTCCACATCCCCTGGGCCCCGAATTCCGAGTGGCCAATATTCGCACCAGTCTGCTACAGCACATAGTGGAATCAAGCTCAGTGCAGCTATACAATTCATTGTTGGATTTACATTTCTTCACCCTCAGATTCAGAAAACGTATACCCACTGATAATGATATTTGATAGTTCCAAGTCACTGCGAGTCGTACAAGTTTGACGATTTCGCGTCAGATATTGAAAACGGCTAAACAGTCAAAACAGTTCTAATTCTTTAACATTTTTCCTCGTACTTCGATGGAAGCGTACAGATATACATTGCTAATAATGACTCGGTGCAGCATTCATAATTCAGTTCGAGAATCAAAATGGCATGTCACTTCGACACAGTAGACACAATATTCCCTTGGTTATATAACCAATGTTCAGTTCTGCTGAGTGGAATACTGATAGCAGTTCTGTGTTTCTACAATTTGTGAGGTAATGATTCCCAAATTTGGATTGTAATGTTACTCAACTAGCGAGTGGATTCACTTGTGGACTTCGCAACGCGAGTGTGCACAGTGATTAGCAGATTTGCGAATAGTTGCAGTTAAAAACCTGATACGCATTAGGTCCATATCGAGTCAGGAAGATAGACTTTGATCAGCGTCACTGAAGCGACACCATTTGGTAATGAGCGTGTCACCGGGGTTCTCTCTTAATGGGTCTTCTCCTTGCCTTCCCATTTGTGATTACGAATGTTTCAACTGCAGTCCATCAGTCTCTTTGTGCCATCTGAATTTTGGATGTCACATGCATAGTGAGCTTAGAACAACATCGTTAACTACAGATTCAATTTAGGCGTTTCCGCAATGGAAGTGTTCATCCGATACAGACATGCTCACTCTCCTTCAGACTGTGAACATATCACACACACGCATTGTTTAAATACCGGCAAAACACACGATCCGACCACCGATGGCAACGGAACTGAGATAGGCTAGGATGGCTGCATTTCTAATGACGTGGAACAGTGCATTATTCCGTCGTAACGAATGTGTCCGATGGTGCGACATCGTCATTTCGCAGTCGGCACATTGAGATCATCAATTTCCCAAAACGATGCAAGTGAGCAGTGCCGTACTGAATCCGAACGCAAACCACTGATATATCCAAATTGAAGAAACTGATGTGATCGACTTTATGGAGAATATCTGCAACTTGGAACGAAAATGACGTCTCCCACAACATTCAGCTCACCACCATGAATGCATCCGCATGGACTAAATCTCCGTGGAAAAACACAGACATTCGCGTCGGCCATTTCAAACCGTCAAACAAATGTGTTGGTGTCCTCAATAATCATGGGAAACGTCCTGTCGCAATGACAGAGACTGATAAACCACTGGGTGAGCATGGATATTTAGAAGGCTGCAGTCACTAGCATGATGGACCAAAACAAATGGAACCAGTGGATAAAAAATCATTATCGTAGGCATAAAACCTATCTCGAATTTTATCAAGTCTCAACAGCTGGCGATGTGTGGTGTCGGGTTAGAACCATTTTTTCTCATTATATACATCGAGGTCTGGTCGAGGAATTCTAATTAGGAATACGATTACTACATCACCATGATGCAGATAGAATCCGACGCACCACGTGTAATGAATGGCGGATATACCAGTCAGTTCATAGCAAGACAACGTACGGGTGCTGCATCAACCCTGAAACTCTGCAGTTGTGGCTACCTTCCACTGTAATCGTATCGAGTATCACCTAGATAAGCCTATTGTGAGATCGTCTTCTAAGGGTTATCGGAATTTGAGACAGGGATAACACAGGCGTACCAAACTCACTGAAGTTCACCGGCGCCAACACACTATCGGGCGCGAATAACACGGTAGTTATGCAGAGCGCACCTCCCCTACGAAAACTGGAGATGAGGTCCATTCATCTGCGCAGATCTCAACAGAATTTCCTCAGTGAGAACGCGGCCAACGTATCCTTCACCGGTCCCATCGAACTCGCCCCAGTGTCTCGAATGTATCTGCTGGGCTTTCCTCAAGTCAACAGTCTGCCTTAGGAGCTGTGTTCACGCCAATGCCTTAACTACCGAGCATTCTAAAAAATCGTGATGAGTTCAACATTTTAACAGCGCCGTCTCCATCCATTCTCTTCCCAGAGACAAGGTCACCACTTAGCAACACGTATGCCAACAAACCAGCGCCTTACCTTATAATTTAGACACCTAAATATAAAAATAAAGGCGTGCAAAGCACCGTTGCCTTGGTTGAGTCAGGTAAATCACTCTAACTATTGGCCAGTATTCTATCTGCGGGTCTCGCCGCAGCTGTGCTTCGTTTAGACGTTTCGCCCGCCTGCTCAGTTACAAGTCCTCGTCAGCCGGCTAAGTGCACAAGTCGATCCCATTCGAATCGCTTTGTCCACGGCAGTCGAAATCCAAGTAAGACGTTTACAACCAAATCAATGCACACAGATTACGTGTAGCAAACGCTGTGAAAAAGTGGCATTCCTTGGAGGTTTTGGACACATGTTAGACGTCTGCTCTGAGTGTCGAAAGCGCTTGTGCACCCTCGGCTTTGTACATTCTGTATACGCTCACCAACTTCATCTTCCCTCTTCCTCTTCCTACACGGTATTGCCAACCACGAACCTCTCAAGAGCAAATGTGTGCTGAGCGAAAAATGCAAACTGAACGCGCTTCCATATTCTGCGTTTTCATCGTCGATGTTCTTATAACCCTTCTTGCATTCTGCTCTTACACTTCCCCTTCTATGCGCATCTCTTGCTCCAATATACTGTAAGCTCCACAACCAACCTCCGATACTACAGAATCGCATTCAGCAATGCAACATTCACAATCTGCTTAAAGCAATTTTATGCTTGTGTTCAACACAATTTCTCATTGTCTAAAATAATCGAATATGCTTTCCGTATCCATAGGCTCAAGGAGCCTACCAATCTCAATAGGGACACCAGGTTAATTAGCTACATTCCATCAGGCTGACGCCCACTAAATAAAAAGGTGGGTTGCGCGTGTCATCAGCCTGCACGAGGAAAACGGTTGAAACTCCATGAAACGCTTGGAAGTATGCTTGCTCTGGGCGAACTCACGGCAATATTTGTACTGAGCATTGGGGAGATTAGGGATCGACTCGTTGAACCCACACAACTTGAAGCGGCAATGAAGGCAAATATAGCCATCGGTTCCGAGGCCGAATATACCATCCGACTGGTGCTTATGGAGTCGAAGAACAATTGGACATTGACCGTGGGTAAACAAACATGGTAGTTAAGTTTCATGTCACACTCAGAGAAGTGTAGACAAATAAATAAACGGTAGTCTACACGTTCTATGTGTGTGACTTGAAACTTAACTGCCATGGTTCTATGTCCATGGTCAATGTCCCAGCTTCCTTCGACTTCATAGGCAACATTCGGTCAGTTAGTTTCTTCGGCCTTAGAACCATTTACTCCATTCTTCTTCAGTGCTGCTTCAAGTTGTATGCCTTCAAGCACTCGATCCCTAATTTCCTCACCACTTACCACAAGTACTACCGTGGGTTCATCCAGAGTAACCATGTTTCCAAGTGATTCTTCGATTGAAAATTGTTTTGCTATTGCAGAGGTATGGGCTACAATCAGATGGACGCATCAATAAGCCTTGGAAACTGTGTCCTTACTTACAGCATTTCCCTATCCAGTCCCCATACTTCTCCAGCAGGAACACATGTGTGTAAGTTCGCTACATCCGAGAATATCCCACAAGTGTCTTTTTTGTCAATTAGGCAGCCACCCGTCTTTGATCAGTTTGTCATGAACCAAACATGTCCTACTCGCTTTACGTAGTCACTTGCTTTAGTCCACGTGTCTTCAGCTAGCACACCATTAAACCTTGAGTACACAGCTTTCATGGCCAATCCACAGTAGCCCAATGCGTCCACTTCCACTTCCCCTTTCACTAGTACTGTGCTCGCCTGTCCATCTCATTTCGTTCCGCATAGGATTATTGCAGCTTTAACTGCGGCTTAACTGACTGTCGTGCTGCAGAATCAAATAGCTGCATGTCTCCATGCCGCAGTACCTCCTGGCTTCTATCAGTACCTCCGTGCTTTTTATCAGACAACTGCAGCACTGTCAAACATTTATTTTCATTACCCCACACAATCGTGCCATCACACCGTCCAATTTCAGCGTCACTCGGTTCTATACCTCAATTAGCCTATGCAGTCTCACCCTTATAATGCCAATCTGTTGCACCGGGAAATTGCGGTTGCCTCTACGGTTACTGATGCGTTGAGCAATCCCGAGACCAGTGGACAGTTTGTTCGATACCGGAAACACATATCATTCGCCTACCAGCTTCGACTATCCAATAGGTTTGGAAAAACGGATGCAGCTCCTTCATGCGAAAGCGCTGAGTCTTAGGATATTAGTGGCTGCAGCTGGCTTACATCCCCGGCGTCTTATGTCTCCGCCTCACTGCTTGAATGCATTCCGTTTAAAACCTTCACCGGTGTTCCTAAAGAACCAACAAAATCTAGCAGGTAAAGCAAACAACTTGGCAATACCGAAATGCTACCGACATAGGATCAAGAGTTTTGCATACCAAGAACCCACATGATGAAACATCTGGCTTAGACCCACTAACTACCGCGAGCACTCATATGTCATCATCCAGTCAGGGAATGTGCGGCGCCCCCTTGTGAAGATGCCCCTTGCGAGTTAGCTTGGTCTATCCTCACTTTGCATTTCATTTCAAATGGCATTTCATGCCGCCACTTCCCTTCAGAAATTTTAAGAGAGCAAGAAAATACAGCATTTATACGGGATAACCTGAATTCAGGTTATTTCGTGTCTTCTCATTCAGCCGTTTGCAGACAATTCATGGGAAGATTTCAGGAATTCAATTGAAAAGGGGGTCAATAGGAAAATCAATAAAACACTGCGAAAATCAAGGACATTGCCTGCGTCTTACCAGGGCAAGGTAAGACTGGCCACAAGCTCTAAGATTTGGTTTCAGTCGTCGGATGGCCGAGCACACGGAATATGCTTTGAAGAGTCCATTGAGGCTGCATTACGATACATCGAATCTAGTCTACGTAATAACGGCTATCCGACTAAATTCATCGCCGGGTATGGGAATGAGGTTGCTAAGAAAGAAACACGAATGGATGGCCCAAAGAAAAAGGTCTTCATCACACTACCATACAAATGGGAAGAGAACGACAGTAGAATGTGCTACCGATTACGCCAAGCCATAAAAAGGTGCTACTACGCTGCTGAGCTCGTGTTGTTACATCAAACCAAGAAGCTATTCCATGAATCCAACTTGGATAGGCCTCACTCTCAGGTTACCGCCTCATGCGTTTACCAATCCACCTGTACTTACAGTAGCATATACATTGGCCGAACCGAGAGAAGGCTATCAACTAGGATCGTGGAACATGTTCCACGGAACCTGGCAAATAGTGGACCTAAATTCCCTGCAAGCTCCATCGCTCAGCATCTGCTCGATTGTATCTTGAGCGAAAACCCAAGTGACGCATTCAAGGTTATCAGCAGACAAAACAACGCGAGCTCGCTTTGTTTCGAGGAAGCCTCAGCCATCCGACGACTGAAACCAAATCTTTGTAAACTGTTAGACCTCGTGGCCAGTCCTGCCTTGCCCTGGTAAGACCCAGGCAATGACAATGATTTTCTAAGTGTTTTATTGATTTTTCTATTGACCCCCTTTTTCAATTGCTTTCCATTCCATTTTTGAACTCCTTCCTGGATAGTGCTCAGGGCAGTTTGCAATTTCATACTCAAATGGCTTTGTTGAATTTTCATCAAACGGGGACGAAGGCATATGACTGCAGAGTGCCTACTTCTACTCTTACAGTGAGTGGTGCTTTCCAAAACATCTTGGTCAATATTTTCGTTAAGTGACTAATGTGGGAAATAAATGAACGTTTGCCGACGGAAAAAGCTGATTGACCCCGCTTATGGGCAAATATACGAATTTATTTGTTTATATATCCTACAGATATAACATGGAAGCAAGAAGCAACTTGTATGCGTAACGGAAACAAAAAACGAAGATATTGTACTTTTGCGCAGTTTTCATTCATTCGAGGTCAATACAATGAAAAGTGCTTCCATTTACCGAACATATCGTCTCAGGCGCCTATCGCTAAATACAAGAATATATATTTTAATACAAACCTGCCTTGTAATCCGTGTGAGTTGGTTTGAGTCTGGGTACCGACCCGGCAGCTCTCACAATTTCCTTAGTCTATGTGGGACTGGTCCTGATTGCGCAGCATCGTGCGTCGGTAATGCGTACCGACGTGTGCTGCTGATGCATTTTGTAGCCCTGTGTCGGCATTAGCTGTTGGCAGTTGTATTCTGGCAATGACTCAAAATGCCACGCACTATGTGCTAACCGAATATAAACATTGCTTACCAGCTGAGAATGCATCATTAGTGCATATTCGTTTCGAGTTGTGGACGAAGAAGTGCCACATTCCCGGGACTTAGTATTCTACAATATATTGTTTTTTTTATAAATTCTTACATGCCACCCATTTTACCGCAGGAAACCTTCAAGCCAATTTCTTAGATAAGAGAACAATTAACCTGTGCCAATCTTCCCCACGGTTCATCATTCCAACTCCCGTTCAAGCAGAGTCGTCACAGGGTCGTGCTTCTGCCCACCTGCGTTGGTCACACTGGGTGAGTGGTTACTTGATCCCAGAGCGGGAGGCTTGGTAAGACGACTGAGTACTCAATCACCATCTAGATTGTCAACCCGAAATGACCAGCGGGAATTTCGCTTGGTTGTTCAAATGTGGCTTAGTCCCCAATGGAACGTACACAGCGGGCCACGTGAATATCGATTGAACCGTTCTTCCCGTACCGAAAATGGAAGCATTCATGACAAACTCAACCACAGAGACTGCGTCAGTTTCGGAGTGTGCAGTCTTACGGCATAAACTGTGTCGTATTTCTATTCTACTTACGAGCAGGGATACAACACTGGGTCCGGTTGCATTTTCAGCGTGGATGCATCACTTGAAACACGTATCACCTGCCTGACTCCCATCGGTCTCACCGAATGTTTTGGCGAATGCAACAACAACGCTCGATTCTCGTCATCTAGTCCGCATCATATTGATCATACAATCGTTCTCATTCACAAATCGAATGTGTACGACCCTTCAATTCGTTGCTTGACTCTCCTCCACAGTGACATTCATTTTCACTCATTGGTAAGATGCGATTGAGAGCAAATGTTCCCACATCGCACTTCGCCACTTCTGTCCCACATGATCCCGTGATTCAGAGTATGTTTTCGTGAGGATCTTATCGAACATCCGTTCTTTAACATTCGGGGTGTAATTGCTGCAAATGCGTCTCAACATTCTCTGGTGCATTTGTCGAATATGGTCTACAACTTGGCTACGTGCATCAAGGAAGTCGATGACCGGAAGACATTTCTTCATGGACATGCGGCGAGGTATGCATTTGCGATGTAACTATTCCCAGTGTGCAATGGATGCCGGGTTCTTGTAAGTACGATCAAGTGGAGTGCAAGTAAGCATTAGTGCAACACATTTAGATAAGCAGAGTGCATTACCCCACAACATAATTGGACAGTCGCTTATACACATATACGTATAATAATACATTCTCCCCATTCGTCTGGTTCCAGTACATTGAACAACAATGCTACGCATTATTATTATTCGTGCGATTAGCGTAATGTAAAACAGTTAACTCCCTTCAATTTTGTGAACAACGAAACGAGAAGACGAATATTGGCAGATGCTAGCATTTTGTATTATCTCGTCAGTACCAATACAATAACAGGGTAGTCATTTGGAAACATTATAGTGTTGCACATTCCAAAACTGGCACCCCAAGACCGCGGTTTCGTTCTGTTTGGGAATCATCAGTTGGAGATAGCCTGAGTTTAAGTTACTTCTTTATATGTCTTATGGGCAAAGTCAAGTATCTTAACAAGTAAGGTATGTTATCATGCTCGTGTCATTAATTAACTGGCGCGCTAATCCATGCGTTCTTCGTTTGTAGTTTGGATGCTGCTGTGAACTGCATCATGAGGCGATCGCTTAAAATTGCATTGAGCACGAAAACGTTAGATGCACATTTGAATGCCCCCGGTAGGTAAGTGTATGCCAGACACCCCGGCAGAATTGAACCCAGGCATTGTTGACCAGTAGACAAACACATTTGTTTGGGTGCTTAATTGTCGGTGTAGTACTCACTTTCAGCACCTTAACACCGAGATTTACCAATTCATAGAACGAATCCCGGGAAAAGATAGTTCCGTTCAGTAAAGACAACATATGCGTTGTCAGCGCCCAGCTTCCGACGCAACACCATAAGACAATTTAAACGGCAGCACGAATTGACGTGGGAAGCAAACACGCTAATCTCACCTCCCGACTATCATCACCTGCCGTAACTATGACAAAGTGAATCCCTTTTTACGGGGTATGTAAGCAAAGCTGCATTTTCTTCTGCCCGACACGATAAACATGTTCGCATGAAATGTAGTATTTTAATTCAAGGGTGGCACGCAGAATGCAGCTGACAGTGAATTTCCTACGCAAATTCTCAGTGTTGGAAATGTTTACCTGCTTGTCCCTGTTTTCCTTTCTGTATTGAGCTTGACCAGCGCTGTGCGGCGATAGCGGATCCCAGAAGCAGGCCGAGGTTTATTGACAATCTTGTGCCTGACTGAAGCCAATGTCACTGAACCACGGAATCACTAACTGGCATCCGGTCTACGACTTCCGACTTTATGAAATGTTTTCACTATTAGTGAGTAGTTGGTTGATAAGTTTGCTATTTAAAAAACTCGTCCGGTCGATGCCGTGGATAATTCATCAGGTTACATCAGCACCCAAAGAAGGCACAGGCCTCCGCTTGTGAACTGCACCTCCGTCTGACCCATGCGATTTGGTCAACACATCAAAATTTGATCTTAGTACCATCTGGTGCTTTCAGCCAATTTGAGAGTAGTTGGTTCAGAGCGATGATCAGAAAATCGATGCAATGTGACTGGGTTTCGTTGGGTCAGTGGATGAGAAGTGGAATGCGCAGCTGTTTATTTGAGGAGAGGCTATATTGTTTTGGCCCCAAAGTCCGTTAAGCTAATAGAGTTTGCAATATCATACTGTATTTCATAAAGATTTATGTGTGAATGTGGATGCAACAGACCTGAAATGAAACGGGGCGATTGCCTGGAATGCGATACAGCTGCCTTCGACACATGTTGTACTACCAATAAACCAACTTTTATATTCGACTGTGTGAGACACGCCCTTAGAGGGATAGTATCGTAACTAATGTGGTCTCCATCCGAGCTAGTCTTAACACAACTTGGTCACTCGGACTGAAATTCGAATCCCATGATGCACACTTAGAATTCGGTAGATGAGGCAACACAATGAATACGCTCTGCAGATAACTCAAAATCACCAATGCAAACCGAAGCATCTGAATCATATCGCTACTACGTGATAGCACCAGTAACACTGTACCATAAGCATATGTTGACGATCACGTAACTGACCAGTAAGTGTGGTTTTCATTTTAAGTAGCACCATCAAATGTTTGATGTAGCATACGAATGGGTTAATCAGAACCTGCTTCGTTTCAACGCCACCCAATGTGAGATATTGAGCATACGCCGCCAATCCACTTGTGAGTGCAGGCTGGGGGATCAACATTTGAAACGCGGTTCTACTGAATGCGACCTAAGTGTGATGGTGCAACAGAACCTTATCTATTCACGTCAGACCGCGAAAGCATGGGAAAAGTCCAACCAACACCTTGGCATTTCGCGGAACGCATTCTTGTGTTTTGAACTTTCTAGTTTTTCACATATGTAAAATGCCCACATTTGGCCCCGTTCAGAATACGCCCCCCACGTCTAACAATTTTGGCACAAGTACGACCTCGCCGCACTTGAAATGCCACAACGAAGGGCGACCAAGAAGGTGAATGGTATGTTTCCTCTCACTTAACCTCTGCGGCTGAAAACCTTCGTTTTCTTCAGTAGACAATATCAACATCTGCATGTCGATTTGATGATGACATATTTGATCCTGAACAATCCAGACCATGCTTGTCTCCACCTTCTGAACATGAGGCACAAAACCACGCGGAGAGGTCACCAGCTAATGCTGATCACATAGTATAATCGGTTGGAGTGTCGCCGGAATTTCTTTTCCCTTTTGTAGGTCAAATTTGATTTGTCCTCCCCACTGACATTGTTGGTGTACTCCTGCAAAATAGGCAACTGGGAGCTGCAAACGACCTCAGGCGAGAAGGATCTGAGCATTTCCGTCCAGTCCGAGCTTGACTGCTCCAAGCAAGTGGAAAAGGCGTCAGGGTGGGCATCCAACATGTAGGCCACCTAAAGCGTGCATTCAGGCGATTCGATCATTCGATATTTCCACAATATCGCGGCTCAGACATACGGCCACATGTGGAATACACACTTCATGTCTGGCACCAATGGCTAATTAGAGATCTCACCGCCTTGGAGATACCCAACTTCAAGTAACCGAAAATGTATAGTGTCTGTATGATTTGACGCATGAATGAAGGATAAAATGCTCATGATCTTCGGCGGAAAGTATCAACGATTGCGCGGGGACCTCACTTTGGCTTACCAGATTTTGTGAGATCCCGACCACATGTGCCGCTATTTGCCAAAGCTCAGTCATAACAGCAATTTGTGAGGCCACCGTCTCAAGTTGACAGAGCAGCACAGTCGCTCGGAATGTCATCGGAATTTCGTTTTCGTGCACCTTTGCAGAACGTGGAATGCCCTACCGGAATCTGTTACTGGTGCTCCCACGCTGGCAGAGTTCGAAGCCCGAGTTGACCGTGCACTTATTTCGCTGCAACATCTTACATGACTCATTCATTACCCATGGATAAACACAAGTGTCTGTAAGCGATTTCACTGACGGTCAAATCTCAGATTCTTTCCAATTTTTCACCTTCTGTCGATGTACACCTAGAGGAGATAAACATTTTATCAACAACGCATTTGCCGTCATACATTATGGATTTACTTTGGATTTACAGCTTACACTACGTTTACCTCAGTGAATTCACTGGTGTGACCCAATTTTACTAAATGAAGAATTTTTACATTTGTAGTTTAACCATAACTATCCTACGAGACCTGTTAATCATGTGATTTTTACTCGCATCAAATCATTGTTCCATTATTTACTGACGATTCTTTTATCACTAATGAGTAGGAAGACTTTGTAATTTTAATTTTAATGTTTTTTCCCAGCTGCTCACAATCTGCACAGCACTGTCCAGTCCGAAATACCACCAGACGCGTTTCGTTCTGATGATGATGAGCCGGCATTGTAAGGTCACTTCGTGTGTCAACCTTCAATGGCCCTCCCCAATTACATTGTTTCTTCCCCCACACTAACGGTATTCAAAAGAACTCTCGATGAAACACTCCTGCATTCACATTATGCCATAACACGATCTGTGTCAGGGCGTCAACCTAACGCTACAAATCTAAGTGCTCATCTTCACTTCCAGCACATGATTTCTTAAACGCCGCAACTGTGGAAACTAGATTCACTTGTGACATCGGCCCAAGGAAGCTGCACACGTGTGAGTGTTTTCGCTTGCACTTTTAGTGTTTCCTCACCGATTGCATCACATATTACTGCTCTCCATAATGCTAGTTGTACACACATTCAATTCCCATTGCACACTAGCATAATGCAGCAGTGTAATTCAATCGGTAGACACTTAATTGACCACTTATTTATCCGTTACTGTTTTAGTCTTCACTCCAACCATATTACAATGCGTGTCAAGCACTTGTATTTTAACCCGTGATAAATCATTGTTAATTTTTTGTTCTTTATTTTTTAATAGTCTGGATCGTATGGTACTGAGGCACATGAGTTGGTAACTGGAACAACTTACACGGGTCTCTCCGGTAGTCTCAGTTGACCACTGGCATACGATCTAGTGGATTCTGGCGACGGACAATTGTTTTTAGCATGCCAACA